TTATGTGAGTCCAAATTTTATTATGTTTTTGAGTGTTATATATGTTGTTTTAAGTTTTGCCGCCCTATAAGGGCATAGTTGTTTTTGTACTGCTCTATTATTTTTAGTATAAATAATAAGTGAAGGGGGCGACCAGACATAGCTCTCTTTTCTTTTCAACTTCTCTTCGTGTCTTCTTCTCCTTCTCTCTTCAAGAAACTATTTTACCTTCATATTTTTTAATTCAGCAGATTTCTACTGGCTCAATAACAGAATATAACACTAAAACATAGAATGTTAAGCCGGCCCACTTACATTTAATCACTCATCACAGCAATATAAATAAGAGGAAATTTGTTGTAGCAATTTTTTCTTGAAATTTCTGGCTAAGGTCCTATTTTGTGTCATAATTGCAGATACAATCGACTAAAGCAGAATTATTTCATAATTGCTTTCACCGCAAAAGTTACTTTATTTAAAATGTTGATGCCATTGATTATGGTTCTCTATGTTTAGTTTCTTGTGACAAATTATGGTAATAATATTCTCATACCGCTTGGAATTTTTGGGGGATTATTGATATATAATTTATCTGAAGCACCATTTTGAACAAACATTTGATATCTTTGTTTTTATTTTCAGTACAGTCTCTCCAACATACCTTAAGGAGACACTGTGTTCTGGATGGCTTGCAAGCACGCTGATAAGAAATCGTGATAAGTATGCTTTCCCATTTGTTGCAGTTATACATAATACAGACACACACACACACATACGTGCACACACAAATATATATATTGAGGCATTTCTTTACATGTCAACAATTACATTCATCAAATATTTTCTGCATTTACACTGCAGAGAATCTTGAGTTTCAAGTGATAAGCTATTATTGTGTCTAAAGCATCTTATTTTTAACTTTGTACCCTACAATTTCTTTTATTTTTCTGAACATCTTATATTTATGTTCCCCATATAGTTGGGACAAGGCTTAGATGGATCTTGTGTTTATGTTACTTTTTCTATCATACTTCAAGTGATTTTGTGTATGAACAGTGTTAGAATCAACAGAATCCTGCCTTGGTGTACACTTGATTGTGTTTAAGTATTTTGATGGGTAAAGCATGAGAATGTATTAATGATAAGCAAAAAACAGTGTTTTAAAAGTGCAAGGGTCAAGAAAAGCACAAGGCAAAGTGCATGCCTACTTTATGTAAGATGCAAATTCTTGAAAAAAAAAATCCAAAAATATACAAAAAATGCAAACATGAATTTCGAAAGAAATTAAATGATTTGAAAAGCATATTGGCTCAAATGAAAAATATGAGTACAACATATAAAACATATTCAAAGTGAAAAATGTGGAAGTGAAAACAAATACAAATGTTGATCATATTAAAGTGTTTCACTCAATAGTTCAATCTGTTTATTTATCTGCAAATGCACTACTTCAAGTAGCTAGTGTAATGTTAAACATCTTGCATTCTTAATCCTTGGAGATCATCCTGCCTTTGGAAAGGACCCTTGAGGCAAGCCCAAACAAATCCATGTGGAGGCTTGGGACAGCACCCCCAACCTAAATTTGTTGCCAGTATATATGAAGAGGTTGGTTTTTGTGATTTTAGTCATGTTCATTCTATATATTAATAAGAATACAAGATAGACAACAAATTGAAAAAAAAAACCTTAACATTTTATTCCATATGAATTTTAATGCATGCAATTGTTCATAATCTCATATATGAAATAATAAAATGAAATTGAAAAAAAAAATTCATAAATGACTTACAAGTAAAATTGAAAATCAGAATTTCCAATAATATAAGAAATTGTGTACAATTATTGAATATTGACTTCACTCTTCTCTCTAAGTTCCACCTCCTTGATCTGCATCTTTTGGTGATCCATCGGATGAAGTGTCTTGTCCTCCTTGATCTTGTAGTCTATCCTCCACATCTATCCCCTCAGCTCTTATCCCACCTAGGTCCTGTAGGACCTACCCATCCTACATCACTCATGGAGATTGAACATTTTGAGTTCAAAACTGAAAACTGAAAATCTCACACAGAAGAAAGAACTAGGAACCAGGCGAGAGCTAACGAGGTGTCTATAGTAGTCAACCCCTACCCAAACAGTCTTATCATTATCAAAGAGAGGCAAAATGTATACAATTATAGAAATTCCCCTCTGGACCAACAAGGGCAATAATATATGATACAACATACTGTTGTAGACCGTCAACCTTTTCTTTAATTGGTTCATTTAGTTGACAGTATATGGTCGGGATATGACTCTTTTACTACTTATTTTTATTAGTCCTATTCACTGCTACTTCAAAGGTTCATTTATTTTCATAATTTATATTTTCTTCTTTGTATGTGGAATCTATTGTTGCATATAATTCTTTTTGCAGATTCATTTATGCTTCCTCTATTTGTTAACTTACTTTTATTTCTATAAAGGTACCATGGTATTTTAAATGGAGTAGATACTGCCATGTGGAACCCTGCAACAGATGTTTTCTTGCCAGCTAAGTTCCATGGTAACTATCCAGATTTAATATGTAAACTTTCTCTTTCCTCTCTGCCCAGCTACAGGGAAGGTGAGGGGTGAGCTTGTTTGTATGGAGTTGGTTTTGGACGTCTGTCAGTACTACCACTCTGAGTCTACCAATTAAGCAAGGTGGCAACTTTATGTGGAGTTGTGGATTATTCTTGTTTTCTGGTAAATAAAGACAAATCAGGATCCATGGCCATGAGAGATTGGCAAATGTTTTAGTGCTGGCTGACAACCTGATGCAACTGTCCTTGTTTATTCCAAACTTGGGACCAGCAGTGTAAGACAAGCTCATGGCAGAGTTTTATAGTAAATAAAGATATCCATTAGAAAACAAAGAGGAAAAAAATAGGTGATACAAAACCACCCAGAAAGGAAAGAAGAAACAAAAGACACTCCAATCATTCCAAGTTTCCAACTACAATTCCCACCACAACTAATCCCCAAAACATTTCTTTCCTAACCAATGTCAGTTAGAATAAGCCTTATTTGGAAACTATTATTATTTTTTATTATGTATTTTGTTTTTGCTTCATAGAAAGGTAAGAGAAAATATTAGAGCACTACCTTGTGGCTTCGAAGGAAAAGCAATATAAGGTTAATGTATTAACAACTAACAAGAGAAGAAAAGGATATAGAAACCTCATATGAAGAACTACCTGACCCACACATCAGAAGAAAATAACAAAATCAATGAAAATGGTTCATTAGTTAGTTGTAACTACCTGACACATTGCAGGGTCATAGTAAATATGTTTACGGCATAAATATGGCATGAGAAATATTCTTGCGATTTGGAACCAAGAACAAAGAAAATCATAAAAAAAAAAACCGGTCAGATAAATGCAATGCAATAAAAGTTAAGCCAAATATGTTTTCTTGTTTACTATGTTCTCATTGAAAGGAATGGCAGGATCCATCATATGGACGCCAAAACTGTTGCGGAATGGGTGGACAAATTTCAAAAATTTCCTACCTTCCTTCCAACTGGGAATCGCATTCCCTGATTTTAGAATCAAAATTCAAGGATCCCACTTGAACCAAACCAGACCAGATTTGAACCAGAAGAAAAAGGGAATGATTATACCTGATCCAGAGAAGCAGTATCTCCCAATGTTGGTGTTCACGCCCAAAGAAGATCCCAAGATCAGCTCCCACTGAAGATGACACAGTGATGATGGAGTCGAACCAGCAGTGTTCGTCCCATGAACCAGGTTCTTCTGAAGAACTCGATGGTAAACTGTGAGCACCACACGAACAATCAAGAACCTTTCTTGATCTTCTCTAACTGAGAACTCGAACTGGCAGAAAAGGTGGCGGCGGCTACTGGAGGAGAATGCTAGAGAATAAGGTGGCGAACTGCTATTTTCTTCTCTAGGGTTATCTGAGATCCTATCTCAAGAATGCAGGGTGGTCTGTTGAAAACTCCTAGGGTTCGAATTCAAGTAATTCGAATTAGGGTTTTCCTCCTCTTTCTTAATGATTAAGAAAACCTCTTAATCATATCAGGAGCTGCCCTTATCCAAATCTGTATTTGGATTAGGACTCCTCTTAATCTTATCTGCAGATTAGATCAACTTTTGGGCTTAACCTAATCTCAGATCCGCCCCCTTTAAGTGATTGATCAAATCAGCCCAGATCGAAATGGGCTTTAGGCCCAATATGTATTAAGTGCTCAATAGTCTTCCAAACTGCTGCCTAGTTGGGCTTCTATGTATGGCGTGGGATCCAAGCATTGATCTACACACCAGCCACATGGGTTCGACCCAGCCTCTGTTACAAGGCCTAGCCGAATTCACTGGAAATCCCAGTGAACCCCCTGAGCCCATCACATGGACCCCATGGGCCCAACACTTACACTAAGTGGTCCCTGGGCCAAGCCATCTTATAAAAACCCA